TCGCGTCACAACGGTGTACACTTTTTCGACATCGCAACTTCCAAATGTGGTCCGAGCATGGTGTGTTTTGTATATGTTGACTTCGAAATGTGCTTCGCGTCACAACGGCGTGTAATTTTTTATCTCATCTGGCCAGATGGCTCCGCACCCGCCGCTTTAGCGAGCCTACTTTTCGACCCTCCGGAGCCACAAATCATTGGAAAACCACAGTGCTTCGCGATTTTCCTACCTTTTCACACATCTACATCTTCTTTCTTCTGATTCTTTCTTTTCTCTAATTTTCTTTCTTCTACTCTTCTCTTCTCTCTAACTCTTCCCATCTCTGCTTTTCATCTGAACATACTTGTCAGAAGTTTGATTTCTAAATTTCCGTCGATTTTTTTTTAAAAATTAATTCAAAATCATATATATATATATATATTTATTATTAATAATTTGTTATATATATATTTTCTATATATATATATATTTCAAAAATATTAATACATAGTTTAGACAATAAATAATTATATATATAATTATTTATTTATATTAAATTTAGAAATTAATTATTTAATATAAATAATTTATAAAATAAATTAAAGAAAGAAAAAATAATATTATATAATTAAATTCGAAAATAATTTAAAAATGTATATAATAATTAATTAATTTAAGAATTAAAAATTAAAGAAAAAAAATAATATTTTTAGAATGTGTTTTGTAAAATTGTGAAAAAAAAATATGTTTGATAAAAATATTATTTGTTCCATATATTATTCGCTTTGTTGTTTGGTTATTTAAAAATTTATATTTATATTTTCCGGTAAATTATTTGTTGTTATATATTTTAGATGATCGTCTTAATAATTAATTGCCCTCTTTGTCCCTGGTTTTGTTGTGGCAAATTTGTAATTTGTTTCCCATTGTTTTTGGCCAACCTTTGATAAATTGGAAATCCTTTGGGAAGAATTGGAGGAACAAAGAGGGCACACACAGTTGGTATATATTAAAACCCTCCAAATCCAAAAATATGTAAATTCGCTATCTTTGAATTCAGTATGCAATCATATTGAATGTCCTCTCAGTGTGTTTCTTGCTTAGCAGAATAGGGATATGTTACATGTTGTTGCAGTGGCGTGGTAAAAAAATTGGACAAGCTAAATGTTGCTGGATTTTGTTGCTAGTGATCAAATCTTAACTATATATTTAGGAATTATTTTTTGTCGCTTGAATGAATATGATCAATTGTTTCTTTATCAAGGCAAAGTCCCGGTCTTAGGGGCCCAATTTGGATCTGCCTGCAGTGATGTACGCAGAAGTCATTTTCACGTTTTGCTCATGTGTTCCACTCTTCAGTTGAGCCCCTCGCCCCAATGCCGGTAAGCACATGACGCCCCCACTGCTGAACCTTCCGAGAGTTGCCACAGCAGGCCCTTCACCAAGAACAGAAATGGCGATCAAACACGCCTTCGGATTGGCATGGTGAGTGGTCATCATCATCTTCACCAGGCCTTCACCTGCAGCAATCGTTCCTTTCTTTGCAATGTCCCGTTGCTAGGCTGCTAGGTGGAATCTGATGATCCTCCACTCTCCAAGCCCCTTAGCCAACTTCTTCTGCTGGCCTCCCGCTTCTTTAATGTCAGATACCTCAGCACAGTCTGAGCTCAAATGAAGGATGACGAGAGACCTCGTTGCCTCAAGGTGAGAATTTCTGAAGCAGTGCTCAAGAAATAGACACATGATGACACATGCTTACACGCTTGGATCTCCGGCACACTTGGTCTTGTCCAAGTACTTCGCGAGGGCCTCCACTAGTTGTACTTAAATGTGACTGTCACAAGGCTCCCATGATGGTGTGCTTGCTCAAGATGCTCAAGTTTAGAATCACAATTCACCTTGGACCAGCAGGGGTTGAAGAAAACGTTTGCTTTCGAGGCCGCACTGTTGGGAGCAAGACCTAGGCCTAGTTGACCCAGCGCTTTGAAGTTGGCACGTCCAAAAAAGTATTTTCAAGTCAGAACTATTCACTTTCCGTTTTGGAGAGGCTCATTACATCTCACGACGATTCAAACATTTTAGCCTGGTTTCGTTCGTTGGTCCCCGTCTTAGGTTAAGCCTACGCCACCGAGTATTGACTACTGAGGGGACACCCAAGTGCCTGAGTCTGGGCAAGAGCCATATGATGCCAGGTGTAAAGGAATTTCTGTTCAAGGAAGACTCGTGCCACCAATTCGGAATCGCAGCGGGAATTGTTCTTAGCTCATTTTTCAAACGGAGAAACAAGCACATCAACATTGCAGTATTACTTCCCTTTCACCTGCTTTCTTAGGTCTTACTGCGGGAGCTGGTTCTTGAGTAGCCTAGTTCAGCTTGTACATTGATTTCACAAGCCCCTAACGAGACTTCTATCTCGTTGTGTGGCCAGCAGGAAGGAAGCTTCCACGAACAACTGGCTTGGTAAGGTTTCCTACTTTCGTTGTTGTGATCAAATTTGATTGGAAAGCGGGGAGTTCTTGATGGGAAGCAGCGGCCAGAGTCATTACGGTTCCAGAGGTTTAATGATCTTAATGATTCATGAAAAGAAATAGTTTGAGCCAGCGGTTCTATGTTAATCCGAGATCATCTTGATCTTCGTACGGAGCACCACCACACAGGCAGTACATTGTCACCTCCAACGCAGCAATCTGGAGCTCGACGTCTCCACCATGCTGCGACATTGCCTCAAGAAGTGCTCCCTCCCGGCAGTGCCACCATCGTCAAAGCATCTGAGATCGCAACTGTTTTGGTCAACTCAACTGCCCGCCTGCACATAACAAGATGGTTCAGAGCATGCTGCAAAGACCAGGGAAAAACATACTCCTGTGAAAAACATCCTGCCGAGAGAGCATGCAAAGCGCCTGTGAGAATATCGAGCTCTCTCTTGGATGTCTTGAGGCCATTGAACCCCACTGCCAAGTGCTCGGACACCCTGTCAACGTGCTTGCTCAGCCAACAAGATCCAAGACATTGGAAAGATTTGGAAAGTATTTTGGTATATTTTGTGGTAACAAATAAGCGTAGCTAATGATCAGCTAATGGCAGCTATTCCAACGTAGTCAGCTGCCTTCGTCTGAATCAATGCATCTGGCCCATGACGTCGCATGGCTTCCTCCACCCGCCTCAGAGTTCGCCACTGGTATCACAACAGGAATGTCTCAGGACTCCAGACCAGAAACCCTCCCATTCACACATCAAAAGCCAAGAAGCTCCATGCCGCCAACATCTGCAAATGCCCTCAATCCAGCCTGAAACGGAGCATCTGAACTTGACAGCTTCAAACTCCTGGGGCGCAGAACTGCAAGATTTGGGCACTGAGACTTCCGCCCAGCGATTCCCCACAAGACTAGACCTGGTGCAAAGCCGTTGTGCTGCTTGACATCTCCAGTTGGCGACCACATCCTAACAAGACCAAGCTTCGAACATGGCTTCGATGCCGGTCCTTGGGGCAGCACATATCTGACACCCCCCCAGCCACCAAACAATGGCAAGAAAAAATGCAAAAATACAAACATTTGAAACATGTTCAGTGCCAGATTGAAATCTCGAATATCAAGAACAAGGAGACCCGCAGAACTATACATGACAACATCCGAGAACCTGACAGCTGGACCAAGCTATCGTCAATGAAGCGAGCCATGATGCTAGCTGCAGCCCGGATCGCACCTGTCAAAACACTCTCCCTGTCAAGTGTGAAGGTTCCCGTAGTTCCCGTATGATCAACGCCCGCACCATATCAGCTGCCTGCTTCAACTAATGCAGCGGGCAGGTCTCGAACAGAGTCCATTGGCGAGAGAATTTTGGCCTTAGTTCCATCAGATGGAAAAGAAGAACAGCGGCGCGATGCACCTTCAAAATCTTCACGTCTACCTTTCTTGCTGAACAAAGACTTGAGGCCAGGGAGAATGGACGAAAGCCAGGCATTGGAAGTGGAACAGGAATGAGGGAAAGGTCGTTCTTTCTTGGACACATAGCTTAGCTGTTGGATCTGCTCGGCCAACTGTAATAACATCTAATGACACGATTGCGGAACAGAAGTGGAAAAGAATGGGCACAGTGATCTGCAACGGGGTTTCAACAATGTGCAAGAGAGAGCGCATCTCACGAAGCGTGAAGTTCCACCGATTACATGACGCTTTTCACCAATGCCAAGCGGTAATGGTGCCAATCATGCCTTCACCTAGCCACTCGCGGTGAAGCTATTGATTTATGTCTGCTGCTCAATATTTTTTGACTTGAAACCAGAACATCACCGAATGGGACGCCAACAGGAGGCTATGCATCATCAATGCAGGGTGTTGGTGCGCATGGGACACATACGTCGATGCCGACACTAATCACTAATAATGGAGCTATGTTTTGCCTGCAGTGCTGGTGCTGTTTCTCTTGCAGTTGCTGTGTCGTTGTCACTATCGGCAAGCACTTGCAAGACAGCAAAGCAGATTGCTAGGCATGGATGGCAATAGTGCATATTACCCTTTTGGTTCTGACTCTGATGGTCTTTACCCCTGCTTCTTTCAAAGGACCCACCAGGGGGCGGTCTGGGGGGTATGACTGGGTATTTCCTATGGCTGGTATTTTTGATCAAGTAGGAGTGAGCTAGCAGAAGCAGAGCATTTGACATCACTGCACCCAGGAGTTTGATGACTTCAATTGTTCTGAGGCAAGGGCAAGAGCCAACCAACCAACGCCATCCCCAGGGTTTTTGCATTCCTGCTCACATCTTGTGAAGCCCTGGCCCGAGTGAGAACATACACTGCCAACAGTCACAGACCTGCACCACTATAATTGTGGAACTTGCTCAGGCAATTGGCCTCAGCTGCCTGTTTCGCTTCTATCACCTGGCTTCGATGCAACTCCCACGCAACATGGTGGCTTTGTGATCATGCGGTTGCGGAGGGCGCCTCGTTGGAAGAGAGCTGCAGTAGCAGCTGTGGCACAATCTCTTTGCAAACAGCCTCTCCAAGTCGGAAATGTAGGAAACTTCACCGATCATGATGGGTCAAATTTCTTGACCCGAAACACGATGTGAATACTTACCAGACATTACCAAATTTACCAAATTTGTCTATCCCCGATCTTGACTCATACCTAGGACCTGGAGTCCTAAGATGGATCCCACTGGCCTCAGCACTGCATGCGGCCAGGAACAGACCGCAGAGCGCTCCCGGCGAACCCGCCGGGAGCTGCACAGGCTGTTCAGGCGGAGGCCCACCGCCTGAGCAAAGATCCCCCTATGATCTGGTGCTGCCCTGCTGCCATCATGAAATCTCCACTGAGGTTGCATGATCACACCGCCATGCACCACGTACATATCTAAATTTTAATCAATGGTGTTTCTGGCAAGTTCCTGTCTGGTCGAGGGAAGTTGATATCCGGTGACTACTGGTTCTTTACACTATCATCGTTGATGCGCAACTGCTTACTGCAGGTAATCGCTGCTGTAAGGCCGCGGGTGGTGCCTTCGCTTTCTGGCTTTACCTGCCGCTTGGTGCAAGAAAAATCGCCAAGAACAACCAAAAACCGAGAAAGCGTTTAAAGATGTTAAAAGCAGTTTAGCCGGTCCAAGAGCTAAGCAACAGCTGCAGTTGCAGTTTCCCAAAGACCAAACTTGCCGAGATCTAGGAGCCTGATCTGGGGGAGGGAACAAGTGTTACTTTCAGATCTGTTGATCTTCTCACATGCCTCTGCAGCGATGATTCTGGCCAAAGCTTCGCTCGCTCTGGCGCCAATCTCCTAGGTCCATCATAGGTCATGCTGTTATTGCAAGGCGTAAATCGATTTATGATTGTCTGCGCGCACCTTCAACCCTTGAGGGCCCCAAGAAACATCCCTCTATCAATGCCAGGACCTGCCCGTCCTTTGGCTCAGATTTGGATGCCATCGATGTCAGCAGCTGCCCCATGACCTGGGACTCAATAAATACCCAACTTCCAAGGATGTACCAAGGCCGTGCAAAAAAATGGCTTTCCCCAAGAGGCTGCAACATCTGGCTGCGCTAGTCTGGTTAACGCCACTTCCTCACAAGTGCCGCCATTGTCAACTCGAATCATCATAAATCATCAAGGCCCCTAACAATTTTCCTCGGGTTCTCATGCAAACATCGTTGAGGAATTCATCCCACGACAAATGTCCTGGTCATAGGCCATGTTTGAAATGGCTCTCATGGCTGTGAGCTGCACTGCCTGAGCTCATCAAATGACAACCTGTGAAGCACGGTCCATGGCAGCATCCGGCAATGCACTGAGTCTGCTGCTCCCTCTCTGCTATGCAAACGCACTGCTCTAAGCCTCGAGTTTTGATCTAAAGATTCACGACATTATTGCTGATTCCTGACATCTCTCCTGCCATTTTCTATGGGATTTGCAATAATGTGGTAAACCAAATAATGAACTTAATAAACCATCCCCAGCATCATCATAAATGGGTGGTACAAACCATCCCAAATGGTAGGTTTATGGCGTTTGTTTGCCAGTTGTACCCGTAACCCCTTCGATGCACCACTCAGGTGATGGCAAGGCCGGGAGCACTCGCTCGTCCTTGCAGGGCGCCGGTGCCAACAAACCACAAACGAATATAATGCGAGATGATGTTGGGTACATCCCAGGCATGGCTAGTTCAATAAAATTATATACGTAGTTATACATGTACGGACATTACAGTGCATGACATGACATGACATGACATGACATGACATTACATTACATGACATTACATTACATACATTACATGACATTACATTACATTACATTTACATTTACATTTACATTTACATTACATTACATACATTACGTTACGTTACGTTACATTAGATTATATTACGTTACGTTACATTACACTACACTACACTACATGAGATGACATTACATTACATTACATGACATGACATGACATTACATACATATATAATTATATATACATATATTGTTAATGTGTGTGTGCTATCAAGTAATTAAATGACACCAAGAGATTAGCACCGCATCACTGCTTGCACCGCTTCAAATGGCCTGGCCAACCACCCGAGCATTGGCATACGCCAGAGAGGAAAGCGCCTTCAGGGCCTTTGCCTTAGACGACAAGTGGATCTAACTTACCAATACAACATTTTTCATGTTTTTTGTATAGAAAATGATGAATAATGAAGATGATGATCATGATGATAATGATGATCATGATGATGATGATGATGATCATGATGATGATCATGATGATGATCATGATGATGATCATGATGATGATCATGATGATGATCATGATGATGATCATGATGATGATCATGATGATGATCATGATGATGATCATGATGATGATCGTGATGATGATCGTGATGGTCATGATGATCATGATGATCATGACGAGTGACGACGTTTGTATTTAGAATTTACGGCATTCACAGTGCATTTCCCATTGGCATGTTTGCCTACCAAAATGCACCCATTGATTATAGAAAAGGGACATCTACAGTATGGACGAGCGTGACTTCAAAACACGAAGACGCAAAAACAAACAGAGCTTCTGACACATTCTGCGGGCACTGCCTGCAGGCCATCGCTGTTTCTTGATGCCAAGGCCGAATGAAATGAATCAGTGCAGTGCTGGCCCTTTTTCACCATTGCTGCCTCGTATTCGGCCATGTGGACCAGGACCTTGGATGTTTGGATGCTTCTTACCGTTCTCAAGTGTTCTCACCACTTTTTCTGCGCCAAGGAAAAGGCATCTTGAAGATTGTCGCGGTTGAAGGCCTCCCGTGATGTTTCGCAGCTTTGCATTGGCTTTACATTACATCTTTGATTGGACGTCGATTCATGCTCCACAGGACCATGTCATGGCCTTCGCATCTCCAACTGGTGCAGGGCGAGGCTGGTGTGCCCTTGAATCGTTGATCTGACATCTTCATTGCAACTGATGGGTCTGATGGATCTGATGGATCTGCTCTGGGTTGCCCTGCCCATTGGTCACCTGCCCACTAGTTGCGTACCCTCGCGTTGGCCCCGATGATGCCTTAGAAGTGCTCCATGCTGAGACTTCAAGTGAACCAGGAGCAACTCCTTCTTTCACAGTCTGTCAAGGTCCGCACCCCGGCAGGCAACAACGGTTCAAAGCTCTCTTGAACTGCCTGAGCAGCAATTGGCATGGTGCAACTAGACGAGTGACCTGCAAATCCGCGCGGTCCCTTGCTTTTCTGAGAGGGGCACCAAGCCCCGCAACTGTTTGGACAGTAAGAGATTTTCCTGGCTCTGTGAAACTGAAACAGCTCTCAGGCTAAAGCTACATGAGGCGAGCCACCATTCATGAACTGTATGAGATCCATGCGCAAAATAAAGATCCGCTCCTTTTCATTCAATTGGAGCAAATACTTCTGCAGTGCTTCACCCTGTAGTCCGAGATACGCCGCCTCCGGTGCACAGGTCTAGTAGGATTACACCCATGAAGGGTTGATAAGCCACCCATTTGGGAATGGTTTATACCACCTATTTATGGTGATGACTGGGGGATGGTTTATTACTGCTTTACCCACATTCGGTCCTGAGTAGGGGTCTAAGCCTCCCATCGCCCGAGGGCCAGGCTCCGTTCTGCAAGGCCCGCTTGACGGACTGCAGCTCAGCTTGGGTGCTTTGCAGCTCGCTGGCGGAGGCCATAACTGCCTCACCTCGCACGGTACCAATGATGGTTGGGAGAGAACGGGATTCCCAGCCAATGGTTGGTGAATGTTGGCGTGGTTTACCCCAAATTTATGATAGTAATAAGACAATAAGATGATAATATGATAATAATATATTACAGTATAATTATAGTTATATGATAATATTATGATAACATTGATGCTATGTGAATATTTACCCAAAAAGTCTCCCAGTATGACCATATGATGACCATATATGATGATTATGATGCTAGTCCCCAATATCAAGGGTAGGTCAATAACCCCACCAAATGTAGGGAGATGAAGATGTAATGATTGCCAGCTGCGCCACAAATGTTCACAGTTGCCATTGTGAAAGTCGTAGCGAGAGAATTCAGCAAAACTGTCTGGGAGAGCGGCGAAAAGATAATCCTACCTACTGCGCCCCGATCCCAATGAACATGCTAACCGAACTGAAAACTGCAGCGAAACTACACTTGCCGTGCATTTGCAGACCGCCCAACGCTGGTGTGTTGACTTAAACATCATTTTGCATTGGCAATTGAGGGCGGCCTCTTTTTGCCGGCACACCTTCTGGACAGCTGCAGGGTCAATACTGTGGATAAACAAGACCCATTCAGAATAAAGGCGCTGAACTCTTGGCAATGCACCTTGTAGTAATGACTGGCGAATATCTTTGCCATTCAACTTGCTGCCAAGAGGTCATGTGGCTACTAGAAGTTGTTAAATGTGTCTGGGGTGAAACATTGAAACACCAGTAACTGGTTAGCAGCGTCAAACCAGCTTGCTGGTCATTGCCACGATGCCTTTGGTGAAGTCCTGGGCTCATGCTGAATGACACAAGCGCAGCTTTGGGATTTGACACGGTCATGTTCCCAGTCCTCGAACATGTCAATATGGGAAACGTTCCTCATCGCCGCAATGGCCAAAGATGGTGAGCCTGGTGAGGCTGGTTGTGTTTCATTCCAATCTGCGATGACCTGGTCCGTTCGGTTTGCGCCACGACCGCCACCCGCATCGATGTGGCCGGCGGCCTTCAGGGGACATGGTCATTGCCTTTTTATCACAAGTGGATACGGTGAATAGCCTTTATGCTGAAACATGCTGAAATAGTTTTCAGATGTTATTAGCTCTTGTCGCAACTGTTGCTGGCTGCCTGGCTGTGGCATCCAGCTGTAGCAAATACTAGGATTTTATCTTATTGAACCTGCCTCGTCCAGGGCAGCGATGAGTTGCTCCAACGCTTTTGCTGCAGCCTCTGTCAAAGCTGCTTGGCCACTTCTGCGCGCTCCGGCCAAATCAGCCCTGGCCAGGTGCAAGTTACGGGCATGGAAGTTG